CACCCACCCCCGCTTCACCTTGTATAGTTGGAACGTGGTGACGATCTGTCTTGCCTAAATCCTACACACCCAACTAAACATGCACCACCCCCCCCCAACCCCCGCCCATCAGTCATCAGCCAGGACGCCCGCGGCGCCACCTGGCGGCGCCCCTTCACCGCGTTCACCGGCTCAGAGCCGGCCGACGCGCATGTGCCCGGCTGGGTCGCCAACGCGGTGCTGCGGGGGACGTTCCCATATGTCAAGGAACTGAAGGCCGCCTTTGTGCTGCAGCCTGCGGAGGGGTCGGGGCTGCCGAGCCTCATGCAGAGCCGCCTCAACGCGCCGCGGATCCTGCAGGTCAAAAAGGTGCGGAGCGGCGGGTGGGGGGCGAGAGGGGCCGTGGGAATGGAAGGGTGGCGGGCGGCAAGTGGCCGGACGGTGGTGTGCAGAACGGCTTCGGCTGGGCAGAGAGGGGCTTTCGGAGTGCCAATGACGCCGGGGCTGAGTTGCAGTTGCGGGGCTTGGGGTGTGGCGTGGCGGCGACAGGCGTGGGGGAGGCCACCGGGGTATGCTGGGGGTGAGTGTGGGCACGTGCACACACATGCACACATGCACACACATGCGCACATGCACACATGCACACATGGTGGGAAAGCTCCCGTATACAAACCCACCCCTTTACACACACACACACACACATACACACACACACAATGGGATAAGCCCCTCACGAAACCCACCCACCCACAACTGACCCTGCAGGTGGTCAACTACTGCGTCTCAAAGCTGGCTGAGCTCAGCGTGCCCCTCATGCCCCTGGACGTCACGTGGGACCCCGACAGCCGCCTGCCCCCGCCACAGGACCGCTTCATGTTCCAGGGGCAGGAACAGCAGCAGGGGCAGCAGGAGGGCACCGGCAGCGCGGAGGGGGCGGATCAGCAGCAGCAGCAGCAGCAGGCGCCGGGGCCGCGATTGCAGTACTTGGAATTGACGTGCAACGGAATGGTGGGCGGCCTGCCCGCTGACGCTCGCGTATGGAGCGTTGCTTGGCGACAGGGGGTCCCTCATGTTGCCAACAGTGGACGCCGTTGCAGGTTCTTAAACCCCAGCAAGCCCCAGGACGCGGCGCTCACCTACCGCCTCCTGCCCCCCAACACACACACACACACACACACACACACACACACACACACACACACACACACACACAAATACACACAATCTCCGCCACCGACCCAACCCACCACCCCAAAACCCCAGGCGGTGCCCTGCGAGCTGTCTGTGGCGGCCGTCAAAAAGTTCATATGGCGCCGCAGCGACGACGTGCTCTTCATCTATCGGGTGCTGGACCCCGCCAGCCCGGCGCCCATGCCCGTCATAGGGCCGCCCGCCGCTTGAGGGGCGCATGTGGGCCGGCACGGCCGATCTTTGAGGAGCCCGGGGGAGGGGGGGGGCGCCACCCTGGCCCTCAACCCTAACACCACGCAGCTGCCGCGATGTGGAGCAACTTGCAGGGTGCACTTCGGGTGCCTGCACGTGCGGCCGAGTAATACCCCAGAAGTAGCTGCGCGTGCGTGCTGTGCGCGGGGGCTGACATGAAGGAAGCAGGTGCATTGCAGGGTGTGGTTCTGGCGAGGGCAGGCCTTTTCGATAATCACCCTTGCTGTATGTGTTGAAGTCGTCGCACTGGCGTCAACAAACCCCTGGAGCAGCTGCGGTAGGGACACCCCCAAGCGCAGCACCCAGGAAAGCCGGACAGCTGGTGGCCCAGCCGCATGCACCTCCAAAGGGAGAGCAGCAGAAGCATCCCCATGCAACATTGTCCTGACCTGGTTGACTCACACAGGGCTGTGATAATGCAAATCCGCTGCGTCAGACCCGGGCGCCGTGCACGATTCCGTCCACATAGCAGATTGGGGAGAGCTGCACTTATACTGGCGGGCAGCGAGATCACTGGCCAGTATGTCGGCAGCATCTCGCAACACAGGGTTTGACCTACCCTGGGTTTGACCCTGTGCGCCGTCCTCTCACGCGCTCCATAATCCTTGAGTCGCAAAAAGCTGCAGAACGGTATGATGGACTTTGGCTGTCACCCGCGGACGGTCACCATACACCGTATGCGCTGAGGAGGCACCTACCCTGCAGACATCATATCACAACACGTATTGCGTTCTTCAAATATGTGCCATAACATAAAAATGCTCGCCCGCCTCCTTCTCTGCTTTGACTTTGCATAGTGATCTTGCGACAGATCTGTCTCATCTCACCGTCTTTCAACGAAATAGGTTACTTATGAGCTGCTCTACCCGCATGCGGTTACCTTCTTGCTTCAACCGCCTGCAGACACACCCGCAGCGACGGTGCACCCGCCCGCGCCGAGGCCCCAGGCCCAGTGCCGCGACGGAGCGGCCCACCGAGTTCCTCAATGACCGCGGCGAGCGCTTAGTAGGCGTGATAATGCTGCCTGATATTAGGGATGCAACGATCACCAACAGAAGCAGCAGCAGCAGTGGCAGCAGCAGCAGCAGCAGCAGCAGTGGCAGCAGCAGCAGCAGCCAGGGGAGCGCGAGCAATAGGGCCGGCGACAGCAGCCGCAGCGGCGGTGCCGCCGCTGCCGCCGCCGCCGCCCCCTGCGTGATCCTGGCGCACGGCTACATGAGCGGCCGCAACAGCGAGCTCCTGGTGCGCCTGGCAACCGCGCTGGCCAGGGAGGGCCTGTCATCACTGCGGTTTGACTTTTCGGGCAGCGGCGACTCCGAGGGGCGCTTCCGATACGGCGGCTACCGGTGGGGGGGGGATGCTGTGAGCGGTGTGGCAAAGGTTGGGTCCAGACGGGCAGCGGTGTGCGCTCCCAGCAGCCCTGATGGCAACGGTGGCCCCAGGGTCCTGAAAAGCTTTATGATGAATTGGGGCATGGCGCGTTTTCACCATTGTGAACACGCCAGCGCAGGCGCGCGAAAGCACCAAGCCACGAGCTGGCATCAACAAGGTGCAAGCAACTGCAGGTTTCTGCCCTCTGCACATTGCAGCAGGCGCGTGTCGCACCC